TTTTTATTTATACATTTTTACATATTTTTAATGTTAAAATTTAAAAATTAAATATAATAGTATACGCTTTTTTCATATAATTTTAATAATTCACATAGTGTACACCAAGATATTTTTAACCACTACCTCTTTTGAGACAGTTCTAATTCTGTATAAAGTGGGTAATTGTGTTGTAAAAAACCGGAGCCGTTTAGGAATTTACCTGTTCGTTAGACCTTTTTGKACAAGAGCCGTTTTGGAATTGACCTTTTCTATTTTTGTTAAACGGGAGCCAAATTGGCACAACCGTGTGAAACAAGGTTAAGTTTATGATAGTATTGTTAAATTGGATGTTTAGAATTATAAACACATATRTATAATATGCAATCAGCCACTCGTTCGTAACGTCATTAAATATTATTGATAATGAGACTGCTTGCACGAGTACCTTTACAGTCGACATCACAATAATAATTTTTATGATAATTGTATAAAGTGGATACACCTAAAAGTCGTTTCTTGTTAAATATGTTAATAATTTATGTACCTAAGCATTTGTTCTGCTTCAAAGGTGTGTTTTTACACTTCATATATTACGATCGTAAAAATGTGCACATTAATAGCGAAATACCACAAAATAAAAATAATAAAAYACAATATACATGACTTATTATTTACTAGAAAAAGCATTTTATCTGCAAGTATGAGAATACAAAAAATAGATAAGTACATTTTATAGTATTTAAATTTATCTGATAGGTAGGTAGTTATATGATTCTTTAAGAGCGTTAATTTATGCTAAATTATTGTATATTATGTAGATATTATAAAAAGCTTAGCTTACAGAGATTACAATTTCATTTTATTGTTAATTTTATATATAATTTAAATATTTTATGTACCTATATTGTATAGTTATGTATGTAATTTAAATAAAAAATTAAAATTATACATAGTAGAATAGAAACTGAAATCTTACACGAATTTTGATATTTTTGTTAAATTATTCAACTCTCTGCAGTCTGCAGCAATAATTAGCTACATGTTTCAATAATATTAATTATAACAAAACATAATAATATCTACGCATTAGCTAGCATGAAACCTTTTTTAATAGTAAGCCTCAGAATTTACAATATTAATGTAATTGCGCATATTTCCATTTTATATAATGTGATTTATTTTTATTTTTGAGTGCATATAATGCGTATTGCTAAAATTGTAGTTATAATAAATTCTTTATTGCCCATTTTTGTTAAATCATCTTTAATTTAAATAATATTATAAATGTTAGTTTTAAATAATATTCTTCTTAACTGCCTGTTAGTTATAAAAATTTAAGGACATATATTTAAATACAAAAAC